ATAGCAGCATTATTCACAATTGCTGAAAGGTGGACGCAACCCAAAGATCCATCAACAGATGAACAAAATGTGGTATATACCTATGTTAGTCAGCTCCTCATCACTGTGACGAAATACCTGAGGAAAACAACTTAGAAGAGGAAAGGTTTATTTTGGCTGACAGTTTCAGAGGTCCATGCTTGGCTGGTTCCAAGGCAGAAAAATCATGATGGAAGGACATGCCAGAGGAAAGCTGCTCCCCTCATGGCAGCCAGGAAGCAGACAGGGTAAGGAAGAGCCTGAGAAAGGATATATCCTGCAAGGGCATTCCCCTAGTGTCCTACTTTCTCCAACTAGGCCCACCTCTGAAGCATCCATTATCTTCCAATAATGCTATTAAATTACAATCTCATCAATGGATTCATCCATTGATAAAGTTAAAGCTCTCATTATCCAGTCACTTCCCAAAAGCCCATCAGCAACCAAGCCTTCAACACAGCAAGCCTTTTGGGGGAGACATTGTGGATCCCAACCATAACAATACATACAATGGAATATTATTATTCAGCATTAAAAAAGAAGCAATTTCTGATACATGTGACAACATGGAGGAGGCTTGAAGTCATTATGGTAAGTTGAAAAAGTCACAAAAGGAGAAATGCTGTAATTTCACTTATATGAACTACATGGAATGGTCAAATTTTTATTGTCATAAAGTATAATTGTGTAGTTTCCAGGGACCACAGGGTGTGAGAAGTGGGATGTTATTATTTAGTGGGTACAGAGTTTCTGATAAGATGAAAAAATTCTAGAGATGGACAGAATAGTGTTTTCAAGGTTCATCCATGTTGTAGAATGTTCTAGAGCACTTTGTTCCTTTTTGTTGTCAAAAAATATTCCCTTATATTGATATGCTGCATTTTGTTTCCACTTGGACCATTATCATTCATGTTGCCATGAAGATTCATGTACAAATTTTTGTGTAGATGTATATTTTTGTTTCTTTCGGATTTATACCTAGGAGTAGAATTGCTGGGTCTTGGGCTAACTCCACATTTAACCATTAGAGAATTGCCAAACTGGTTTTCAAAGTAACATTGCCACTTTATATTTCCACCAGCAAGGTATGGGGATAGGATCCTTGATTTTTAGTTGGGCCCTGGGCTCATGTCATTCAAAATGAAGTTTCCCAGACTCTCTTACAGCTAGTGTGACTAGCTGACCAACTGGATGAGTGAAGTCAAAATTTTTCTCTTAAAAGAAAGTACACTCCCCAATGAGTGGCTGGATGGGGACCCAGTAGTGAGCTGTACTGGATCATGTGGGCAAGAGCAACATACAGGGGCAGTGGAGCTTCCGACAGAAGGAATTTGGAGCCCTGGAAGCTTTGTAGAGCAGTGCTGCCACACTAGCTTTGAGTGGGACTTTAAAGTGGGCGAGAAATAAATTTCTAACATGTACTTTCTAATCCACTATTATTTTGGGACCCTCTCAGAGCCAAATTTATATCTTAATTACTACTCTTGCTTTCTGTGACTCTTCTCTCTTCTGATTGTACTTCCACTTTTCTGACTGCCCCTCTTCTAGGCTCTCTTAATATTAGCAAGGATAAGTTCGGCTGTATCGCATGTCTTAGTCACTTGCCTGTCACCAAGACACAATGGCTGACACCTGCATATTAAAGAAGAGGTTTATTTTGGCTCACACTTTCAGAAGTCTCAGTCCATGCATGGTCAGCCAGCTCCAAGGCAGAAACTGCATAGTAGAAGAGCTTAGTGGAGGAAAGCTGCTCACATCATGGCAGCCAGGAAGTAGAGAGAGAAGGGAGAAGCTAGGGAAGGATATACACCCTTCCAGGTCATACCCCCAGTGACTCACCTTTTCGGAGTGGGGCTAAATTTAGCTATAAACTCATCAGTGGATTAATCCAGAGTATGGTGCCCCATGATCCAATCACCTTTCAAAAGTCCCACCTCTGAACACATAAGAGTTTTGGGGGACATTCTAGATACATACCATAGCACAGCAATAGCAAATAAATCTCCAAATTTTAGTAGCAAAACACAATGGAAGTTCATTTCTTGCTCATGCAAAGTCTGATGCAGGTTACTGGGAAGTCCTCCTCCAAGCACTAACTCGGACTACATATCCTATCATCTTTCAATAATGCCATCCTGTAGTGCTTTGCTTCCATTCTTTGGAAAGAAAAATATGGAGAGCTCATGTATATTCTTTTATTGTTTTGTTTTTTTGAGACAGGGTCTTGCTATGTTGCCCAGGCTCGTCTTGAACTCCTGGGCCCAAGTGATCCTCCTACTCAGCTTCCCAAGTGCTGAGACTACTACTGTACCCAGCTCAGATCTAGTCTTTATTGCTTTCCATCAGAAATGACTCACTTATTTTTGCTCACAGCCCACTTTCCAGAACTAATCTCACGGCTCCAACCTAATCATAAAGGAGTCTAGGAAATACAGGAAAATATCTGGATCTTTAGAGATCTTAATTTTTTCTGTCAAAGTTTTCCTTAAATTCTAGTCTTTTCTTTTCTTTTCTTTTTTGGTACTGGGGATCAAACTTGGGACCTTGCGCTTTCGAGGCAGGTATTGGAACCACTGAGCTAAGTCCCCGGCCCAAATTCTAGTGTTTTCTGACCTCACTTCTTTCCTTTTTTGCATACGCTGTCCCTGGGTGATCTCCACTCTTATGTCTCCCACTGCCAATGTTGCTCGGTGACTCCCAGACTCAGTGTACAGCCTAGATTTCTCTCCTCAGTTCTTGACATCTGTGTCCAACTGCCATAATGCCTCCAGCAGAGCACCTTTGAGTATGAAATCACACCAGCTTATGGGTAAAAATAATAACCAAATCTCAATTTTAATGGCTCTTGTTTTCTTTCTCCTATCTTCTTCCATTCTTCAGGGCTTCACCATTTCTCAGTAGGAGGGATTAATGAGACACCTCAGAGCAGTCTCCCTGCCCCTGTGTAGCCAGTCTTGAATGACTGCTCACACAAGGTCCTTCATGACTTGGGCATGGTCAGCTTATCCTCTAGCCTCATCTCCTGCTGTCCAGAGTTGCCAGAGCCAAACACAGGGGGTTCAGTTCTGCCTGCACCTCCTCTGTGTGATCATGGCAAGTCACTTAACCTACTCAAACCTCAGTTCCTTAATCAATTGAATGAATGAATCTCACTTCTCAACTTTCTGCAAAAGTGGGGAACATAAAGATGATTTGACAAATTCTCTGCATTCAAACAACTCTCAAACGCATCAACAAATTATTTTACTATGCGATTAAGTGCTGCAATGCAGTAATATGCAAAGTGTTATGTGATTAATGTGGAATCAGTCTGTCACCAAAGCAGGGAAAGGATCAAGACAGAAGAGGCACTCAGAGTGATCTTGGAAGCTAGGTGTTGCAGTGCACACCTGTAATCCCAGCACTCTGGGAGGCTGAGGGAGGAGGATCACAAGTTTGTGCCCATACTGCACAACTTAGCAACTTATTGAGACTCTGCCTCAAAAAAAGTGGGGGAAGCTGTGGACATAGCTCAGTGTGAAGTTTTCCCCCAGTACAGCTAAAACAAACCAACCAACAAACAATGATCTTGGAGCTGTGCAGCAGGGACTACTATTCTCCACCCCCTCCCCAATACATTCATTCTTCTCTTCTTCCAGAACAATAGAACTCCCTTTCAACTGAGCACACAGCCACCCAGAATAAAGACTACATTTCCCAAACTCTTTTGCAGCTAAGTACAGCCATGTGACTGAGTTCTAGCCAATGGAATGTCAGTAGAAGTGGTAAGAGCAATATCTGGGGTATATGTTCAGTGGGAGGGAGTATGTCCTTTCCCTATTTCCCCTTCTTGCTGGCTGAGAGGTGAATCTGATGGCTGGAGTTAGAGCAGCTTGAACCTGGACATGAGCCTTTTGTTTAGGATGATAGTACAGTAAGACAAGCAGCCCTCAGGGGCTTACATTTATGTAAGAGAGAAAGAGAGAGAGAGAGAGAGAGAGAGAGAGAGAGGATTTTATTTTCAGCTATCCCCACCCCCTTTTTGTCTCTTGCAGCTGAGCCTAATCCTAATACAAACTAAATCTGAAAGAAATGAATGCATCCCCATGAGGAGATAGCTATTTCAGGGAGAAGGAGTAGCATGTACAAAAGCACAGGGTCCTGAAAGAGGTGGTGTACTTGAGGAACACCAAGGTTTTGTCTGGCAGGAGGAGACTGGAAGTGAAGTTGGGATGAGCCATAGCAGAGGATGGATTGAATGGCAGAACTGGCAGAAGATCCATTGGAGGTTCTGAGTGAAAGCAAGAGAGACAACTTGGGCTATGGTGGTGGTGGAAATGGAGCGGAGGGGATCCATTCCAGGTACCTTTAGGAGCAAGGAGAAGGAGCTTAGGAATGAGTATGTGAGTATATGGAGGGAGCCTGTCATCAGAGCGAGAGCTGGGCCTTTGGGCTTCCCTCCTCAGAGTCCCTGAGGTGGAGTTCAGCCTTTCTCTGTGAGGAGAGTCCTTTTGCTCCAATCCCTTGGGCCCACAGTCCCAGCCCAGACCTTGCTTACCATCTCTTCACCCAGCCTGGCTTGCCCTGCTTGATCCAAGAGTATTTCATAAATCGGGAGATGGGGGAGTCTTTAACTCCACAGCTGCTGGCTCTTCCTAGGCTGCCTGAGTACCCTGTGGTGGAGCTGTCAAGGGGTGTCTAGGCTCTGCCTGGCAGCTGGCTGGCTGAGGCAGAGTGCTCTGGGGAGTTGAGTAAGAGCAGGGCCCCTGCAAGCAAACAGGCTTGTGTCTGTTGGTGGGCCAGGGAGCAAGTCAGTAGGAGGTTTTGGGTCCCCACTGGGTGAGTTTAGCCCCACTCCTAGTAAGGGTTTCAGGAAACATTTCTCTACTAGCATAGCCCCTTGATACCAGGGAACTCATTAACCCTCTGGGTGCCAAGGAGAGGGCAGGAGGTAAGTTCTGGGAGGCAACTGAGGTCATCCTTCTTTGAACCGCCACGTGGTATTTGCTTAAAGTAATTGTTGCCAGAGGCCCGGGCCCCTGGAGTATAAAGCAGAATATCTGCTTTCTGCACCCAGAACTGAGCAGGTAAGCACCAGGGCTGACAGTGAGGATAGAAGGGGACCGCTGGGGGCCTCGGGAGAGCTGGGGGCGGGATCTAAGGCATCCTCTTGAGCACTTTGGCAGAGTTGCTTTTCCCCCATTGGTTATGCCTCAGTTTTCCTGGCCATGAAATGGGAGGCAGGAAGACAGGTGAGGGAGATAGGGAGCTGATCCTGGTGCCTGGTTTCTAGGTTCTGGGGAGCATAGTGGTGGGGGAACCATTGGAAGACAGTTGACGCTCCATTCTCTCTACTATGTGACAGAGATAAGAAAAAGGAGCCCCCCTCTCCTGCTTGAGGAAGACACTTTTTCCTTCCCAACCTATGTTGATCCACCAAGGTCATTCTCTGAGTCCCAACAGTTCTCTGCTCTCTTCACCTCAGGGAAGGGTTAACAGGATTTGGAGCAAATTGCTCCTAGAACAAGTTTTTGGTTCCTTTGCTTCTTTATCCTAACCTGGGCTCCATTCAACTTCCTTCCCAGAGTCCATACTGCAAGCATGGCTGCAGTCCTTACCTGGGTTCTGGTCCTGCTCTCAGGTGAGTCCACAACCTGACTTCAATGTAAGCATGTGGGTGGAGACTGGACTGAGCAGGCCTAACCACCTCATCTTCTCCACAGCGTTTTCAGTTACCCACACACGGAAAGGCTTCTGGGACTACTTCAGCCAGAGCAGTTGGGACAAAGGTGTGATGGAGCAGGTCCAACAGCAGAAGCAGGCCCAGGACCATGTGTGAGTAGCTAGGGTAAGGGATTCCGGTGAAGGAGAGGAGACAGCTGGGGCATGGGATGATGTGCTGTTCCTGACCCCTCCACCTGCCCTCCCTATAGCTAGCTGATGATGTGTCCTTGCCCCCTGGGCCTTAGCACTAAACACTCCCTAGCTCTGTGCTTGCACCTGCAATGTGTTTGTGCTTCTGTGCATAGTGTTGCTGCTGTCTTCAGGGTGAGGACTAGAGAGCCTGGGTCTGGGAGCCACTGCCCCACATCCTTGGTTTCCCTCGATGATGAGGCTAACAGTCTGATGGTCTGTCCTCTTCCCCAGGAGGCTGAAAGACAGCCTTGAGCAAGATCTCAGCAATATGAACAAATTCCTGGAGAAGCTGGGCCCCCTGAGTGGGCCGGGGAAGGAGCCCCCTCTGCGGGCCCAGGACCAGGAGGGCATGAGGCAGCAGCTGCAGGAGGAGCTGGAGCAGGTGAGGACTCGCCTGCAGCCCTACATGGCGGAGGTACACGAACTGGTGGGCTGGAACTTAGAGGATCTGCGACGGCAGCTGAAACCCTACACAGTAGAGCTAATGGAGCAGGTGGCCCTGCGTGTACAGGAGCTGCAGGAGCAGTTGCGTGTGGTAGGGGAAGGTACAAAGGCCCAGGTGCTGGGCGGCTTGGATGAGGCACTGGGCCTGCTGCAAGACATGCCTAGCCGCGTGCTGCACCACACTAGCCGCGTCAAAGAGCTCTTCCACCCCTATGCTGAGCGCCTGGTGCGTGGCATCGGGCGCCACATGCAGGAACTGCACCGCAGCGTGACTCCACATGCTGCTGCCAGCCCAGCCCGGCTCAGCCGCTGCGTGCAGGCGCTCTCGCACAAGCTCACGCTCAAGGCCAAGGCCCTGCATGCGGGCATTCAGCAGAACCTGGACCAGCTAGGCAAAGGGCTCAGTGCCTTTGTACACACTAGCGCAGACTGGGCCGAGGAGGGGGCCAGCCTGGGCCCCCACATGCTCTCTGAGGAGGTACGCCAGCGACTCCAGGCTTTTCGCCACGACACCTTTGAGCAAATCTCTCTCTTCACACAAGCCATTGACCAGGAGACTGAGGAGATCCAGCAGCAGCTGGCACCAACCCCACCCGGCCACAGTGCCTTCGCCCCTGCGTTCCCAGAAGTGGATGGCGGCAAGGCCCTGAGCAAGCTGCAGGCCCGTCTGGACGACCTGTGGGAAGACATCACCTACAGCCTTCATGACCAGAGCCATAGTGATCTAGGAGAACCCTGAGGGTCAACTTGCCCAGGTTCACTCTCTAGCTCCCGGTCTGGGGGGCCCAAGATCTGAGCCTCTGCGTGGTCTGCTGGGTGAGGGCGGAGGGTCCTGCACAGGGTAGGTGAGGCCACCAGGGGGGCTGCTGTCCCTGGAATATCCATCCTCCTCAATGTCCTCATCCAGATGCATTACACTCACTAGGTTTTGCAAACCCAGCTTTCCGTACTCATTGGGGCATTCTTTCATGAATTTTAGTGTTCAGAGGTGGAGGGAGTAGGGAGGGAGAGAGATTCTATGTCCGAAAGCCTGTGTGGGAGATGGCACTGGGAGCCTGTGCCACTGCATCCCAAAGTGTGGTTCCTGTCACTTCTGGATGCCTGATGGTCACTGCTACGGCTGGTCCACAGAGAGGAGCCCTTGTTTCCCCAGGGCTGCCAGGACAGCTTCTGTTGGGCCAATAGAAGAGATCAAGGAGGAAAATACATGGGGAGAGAATGTGATGATGTGTGTATATCCCTGCTAGCTGTGATGCTGGTGTGTGTGAATGGTGGGGACAGTGATGGGCTAGGGCAGGGTCCATGTTTCCTTATATAGCTCTGCATCTAAGCAAGGGACCAAGCCCTCCAAACTCTGGGGGCTTCTTAAATTGTCTAGGGAGCATAATGTGTGCCCTCCCCATCTCCAGCCCTTCCTTCCTGATTCCCAAACTGAAGCCTAGACTTCTGCTCAAATGAAACAGATGCTTACGATGGAAGCTTCTTTGCCTGGTGTGACTCTTACTCGTCTGAGAACAGGGGCCTCCCCACTGACCCTAAAGCACACCCACCTCCCAGTCCAATCCCTTGCTGCTCTTTCTCATTGACCCACTCTGTCAGAGGGGCCTGGCTCTGCTGGACTCTGCTTTAGCATCCTGGCTAGACAACAGCTGTCTGTCACATGCGGTGTATGTGTGGGGGGGACTGAGGGTGCTGGGACTGGGTGCTGGGTGACTCTTCATCTGCATCCATATTAGTCAGCAGCTTAGGGACCACAAGATGGTGTGCATGGGACATAGGCTGTGGTCCCGTGGGGTGGCCTGTCTCATTTGTTCCTGCTGTTCCAGACTCTGATTAGCCTTTTCTTGAGACCCACAAACGCTTATTTCCCCTCCTGCACACACTCACTCAAGGGGCATCAAAAATCACCTGGAAACTGAAATTGGTGATGAGTATGAGAAAGAGGAAAAAGTAAGCACACCCCTTTCCCTCTGGACTACCCTGTCCAGTACCCTTTCCCCCAACTTGGGGGGAAACTGGTCTGCATGGGCTTCTCTGGGCTTCCCCTATTCCTCCTAGAACAGACAAATGAATCTGGTCTCCTCATGCCTGAAGACTGGTCATCCCTGACACCCTAGATGGACTGAATTGTGGCTCCAGGATAGGGGAAGGAAGAGTGAGAAAGAAAAGTTTACCAAAGAAGTGTTTCTGTTGTTAGTTAGAAACAGGGACAGGTGAGTCAGCTGAAGTCGGATGGGATAGGAATGAAAGCAAGAGTAAAAAAAATAAGGCCTGTGCATTTGACCCTAGAATTTGGGGAGTTGCTTATAAGACAGAAATAGGGAACTGAATGGGAGAGACAAGAGGAGGCGGGGGAGAGGCTGAGCAACCTGGACAGGGGCACCTATAGCCCAACAGAGGTGTCCCAAGCAGAGCCTAGCACTACAATGGGCGAAGGAAGCCTAGTTCGGAGGCACCTTCTTGGGATTCCCAGAGACACGTCAGTCCCCTTCCTGTCACGGCTCTTGTAGACAGATTTATGGGCCAACTTGGGACCTGTGCGGGCAGCAAAAAACTGCTCAGTATCTGAGTGTATGTCCTCCAGGAAATGGCAGCTGAGTTGAGAGGGATCCGGCTGGTTATGCAAATCCCGGGAACCGGAAGGCCATGTCAGATACTCTTCAGGGAGCGTCCAGAGGCTGCGACTTTTAAAGAAGGGGCGGGAGCAGCAGCTGGCGGAAATAGGGCCTCGAGAGCAGCGGAAGGGGCGGGGCCTCAAGAGCAACGGAAGCCGGAAGCAGAAGGCTGAGCTACGCGCGTTGGGCGATGTCGGCCAGTGGGGCTGTAGCGTCCGGGTCCCTGGGGCCTACCACCACCCCCTCACCCGCCCTAGGCCAGCTGCCAGCCACAGGGCACTTGTTCCGACCCATCAGCGCCGAGGACGAGGAGCAGCAGCCCACCGAGATCGAGTCGCTGTGCATGAACTGTTACTGCAATGTGAGGCTGGGTCGCGGCCGCGGGCGGCGGGGAGGGAAGGCTTAGGCAGCAAGCCGCTGGGGGTCGGCCACCCAGCCAGGTGCGCCCTGGAAGACCCAGAAGGTCCTCTGGGACTAGGACAGGGAACGGGAGTTTCATTGATTGTTCTCCTTCCCTGTTTTTTTGCTTCCCCAGGGCATGACGCGCCTCCTGCTCACCAAGATCCCCTTCTTCAGAGAAATAATAGTGAGCTCCTTTTCCTGTGAGCACTGTGGCTGGAACAACACGGAGATCCAATCAGCAGGCAGGATCCAGGACCAAGGAGTGTGCTACACTTTGACCATCAGAGGCCTGGAGGTAAGAAGAGCCCAGAGCAGGTGCCTCAGTGTCCATGAGAGAGCTTGAGGACTGGAGTCAGAGCTCTCTGTGGTCCAGACTGTCGGACTCCGAATAAATCCCCACGTAGCTAAGCCTTAGTTTCCTTCTTTGTAAAATGGTGTTTTCAAAGAGTCATCTGCTCAAGTGAGAGAAGATTTGTGAAAGTGCTTTGTGAATTTTGCCAGAGGGTGTGGAATGGGAGTTACTGTGGACAGTCTTTTCACCATTTGGGCAGTATACCACCTGAACTATTTTGAAAGAGTTGTCTGGATGCACCAAAGCGGAGAGAGAGAAATAGCGGAGTTGAGGTGTGATGAAGGGAGGCTGTCTGGTTATCTCCTGAGGAGACGCTGTACTGCTTTCTTTGGGCCAAAGTTTTCCTTTTTGCCCAGGACATGAACAGAGAAGTGGTGAAGACTGATTCTGCCACCACAAGGATCCCTGAGCTGGACTTTGAAATTCCAGCTTTCAGCCAGAAGGGAGGTAAGTTTAAGATCAGACTATTTTGGCTGTTCTCACATAGCTGGAATCTTACCCATTTTCTTGCAAAACCCCCAGTGCCAGGTCCAGTGGCTTGTATATGGGCTTGACCAAATACTCATAGAGCTTTTCACTGGCTTAACATGAGCAGAAAGCTTAGGTAACAACTTGAGATATAGAGAATTTTAGAATTTTAGCATCACTGTTATCAGAGTTGAATAGAATCCTGTGCCTGGGCTCCTATTACAAATGAAAACATCAGGGCCTAGAGTCAGGTGAATTGCCCAGGGTCATATAGCCACTTGATAGCAGAGCTAAAACTCATTTGTCTTTTGTTCTTGTTCACAAGCTCTGACCACTGTTGAAGGATTGATCACCCGCGCTATCTCTGGCCTGGAGCAGGACCAGCCCACACGAAGGGTGAGCTGGGCTTTTTTCACTGCAACAGTTCAAGGAATTATTGCTCAGGTGTCTGAATAAAGTGTTCAACTTTCCCTGTAGTGGATCTGTCTGAGTGAACATTGGGCAATTTTTTTTCCTGCAAAGAATACGATGGCCTTGTAGCTGCCAGGATGTTGCAGATGTACTTATTGTCCTTTCCATGACCCTCTTCCAGTATATATCGAGGCCTCATCTTAGTCAGTGTAACATTAATTCTGAAGAGTTCTTCTAATTCCTTTTGGATTATCTGTGCTTCCTAGATATTCCATTGTTTGGGTCTTATTATTACAGAAATAATATAATTGCATATTTAGTCATCGGTTTCCCTAACTGGCTAGGGAGCCCCCGTAAAAGACTGATTTATTTACTGTTATATCCCTAACCTAGCACGAATGCATGGGCTAACTGGTGGAATAAGTGGGAAAATGAGGCTCCCCTCGCACCACCCATCTTCTTCAGACTTGTTTATTGTATCTGTGAAGTCTGAGGCACTTGGTTTCCACTCATTAAGACAAATGTTGATCTTCTGATGGAATTGACATGGGTACGATGGAGTTGGGCATGAGGTATACAACCAAGGCGAAGACTTTTATTCTGCTTATGGCAGGCAAGCAAAGAAGCCATAGCTGAAAGAATTGATGAGTTCATTGTCAAACTGAAGGAGCTAAAGCAAGTGGCCTCCCCTTTCACTCTGGTGAGTAATGAGGGACTGTAGTTGCTTTTGGTGAGGGGGGAAGAGATATTAAGACTGTCTGGGATTTTTCTGCTGTGGTCTGATGGTAAGTGGAGGGGTGTGTATGAGTTCTTATTAAATGAATATGTTTTCACTCATTTGTTAGATCATCGATGATCCCTCAGGGAATAGCTTTGTAGAAAACCCACATGCTCCCCAGAAAGATGATGCCCTGGTGACCACACGCTATAACCGGACCCTACAGCAGGATGAGATGCTGGGGCTCCAAGTAAGTGGACTAAAGAGCCAGAAGAATGGTTTGGAATTATCTTGCACTCTGGTTTGCCTGGAGTCAGTGGGACATTATTTAGTTGCTGTTGCCATACTTATTTACATACTCTGTCTCAGCCTGTTTGTGTCTGTCTTGAAGCTCATTTCAGGACTTAGGGTAAACTTTACAGGAAGGATGGCAGTGGCTTTGGTCTTGTCTTGAGCCCTGTTCCCTTGATTGGGGCATTGCCTTTTGGTTTCTCTGTCACACCTGATAGAATTAAGCAAAGGTGTTTTCTCCCATTCCAGGGTGGGGTATTGGGGATGCTGAGGTTTACCTGCCAACTTGTGATTTGCATCTCTGCTCTTCTAGGCAGAAGCACCACAAGAAAACCTGGAAGAAGATCTCAGAAATGAAGTGAGTCATGTTTGCTGCTGTTGAGGAAGGAGTGGAGTTGTGGGCTGAGAATGATGCTTGTCAGTGTCTCTGTCACCACCAAGGTGACCACCAGCATCCTAACTGGATGTCTCTAACCTGAGTGTTCTGGTGGAGAGGGTTCATACTATGTCCCCATATTGTGTCGCAGGTGCTTCAGTTCAACACAAACTGCCCGGAATGCAATGCCCCAGCTCAGACCAACATGAAGCTAGTACGTATCTTTTGTCAAACAGTTGGGTTGCTTTTCTTTTGACTCCGGCATGGAGATTATATTTAGGCTGCGAGCATACTTTCAAGGGAGCAAATGCTTTATTCCCTGTGATAAGGAGGATGTTGCCTTTGATTAGACCATGTATCTTGGCTCTTGAGTTCAAAGGAAAAACTAGGCTATGGTCTCGAGGCTCTTGTGTATGGTCTGAGCCGTGTCTTTAAACATTTTGAAATGGGCTACTGTGCGCTGGGAAGAGAGCTTTTAGAGGACTCTCAGATTTAGGATCCCTTGTGATGTGTTTCCTGCAGTCCTGGGACCAGCATCTGTTTATGTGGGTTTTGGCATTGTTTTTCCCTAGTGGGTGGTCATGCTGTCCTGGAAGCAGATTTCCTTAACTCCGTCTTCTAGAAATCCCCCACTTTAAGGAGGTTATCATCATGGCCACCATCTGTGAGCACTGTGGTCATCGGACCAATGAGGTGGGTTAACTCCATCTTTTGGAAAGAAAACTGGCTTAAGGGTTTCCCCTTTGTAACTTCTTCCTAAATCTGCTTCAGGATGGTGGGGTAGGGTGGGCTGGGGCTTTCACTTAGGCTTAGAAAGGGTGAGGAAGCCTTGAAGGAACTGAGAA